ATTTTGTAATATTATATAACATATATAAGATATACCTTATAGAATGAACTATAGAATTTAACAAACTGTGCCATACATCTATTACATTTATACCTAGGAGAGCACCCCACAGTCAAGATAACAGATAGGTAAATGCCCCTCAAAATTTCCTAGGCAGTCATAGATTCCCTCCTAGCTTCCTCTCCCTGCAGTCTCCAGTATTCAGGCAGTCTTGGCTCTGCTTTGTAACTATAGATTAGCATTCATTTTAAATAATACTATATAAATGAAATCAGATACAACATTTTCTCTTTTATCTGACTTTTTTCACCAGGCATAAGAGATTTAATATTCATCTGTATTATTGTCTCCATCAATATACTTCAGACTTTATTGCTGCTGAAAAACAACTCATCATATAAGTATACTACAATTTCTATAATCATTAAGTATGAGGTAAGTGGGCAGATGAGTTATTTGTAATCATAGGTATTAAAAAGTAAACGTTATAAACATCCTTACACACATTTTTGATTGATATTTGCTTTTGTACCTCATGAATATATTCCTAGGAGATGACTGGGTTTCATAGCAGATATAATTTTAAAAAACAATATCAAAACTGATTTTTTCAGATCACTGTACCTTGCTGCATCCCCATCAACAGTACACAGAACTCCAGTTGTTTTACATATTTGCCATCATACGATCAACCTTCTGAAGTTTAGTCATTTTAGTAGATATTTAGTGGTACGGCATTGTGTTTTGATTTTGCACTTTCCTGGTGACTAACATGTTGAGGAACTCGCCACACACTTACTTCCTATCTGCATATTTTCATTGGTAAACTTCCTGTTCATGTTTTGTTCCTGTTTCTCCTTTGAGTTCTACGTGTTCATTATTGAGTTTTGAAAGTTATTTTTCCCTCTTTATTTATTTATTTATTTATTTTTGGTTTTTCTCCGGTACCGGGAACTGAACTCACGACCTTGCGCTTGCCAGGCAGGCGCTTTGCCGCTGAGCTAAACCCCAACCCCTATTTTTCCCTCTTTAAAAAAATATTCTGGGGGCTGGGGATTTAGCTCAGCGGCAAAGTGCCTGCCTGGCAAGCAAAAGGTCGTGAGTTCAGTTCCTGGTACCGGAGAAAAACCAAAAAAAAAAAAAAAAAAAAAAAAAAAAGAAAAAATATTCTGGGTGCAACACCTTTGTCACATATGCAATGTTCAAATATTTTCTCTAGATTTGTGGCTTGAGTTTTAATTCTAAAGTATCTTTGGAACATAAAATAATCAATTTATTGGTTTATTAATTTTAAATAGTTTTTGTTCTTAATGTTACAACTAAGAAATTATTGCCTAACCAAAACTATCTTCTGTGTTTCTTCTAGAAGCTTTATACTTTTTAGTTCTTGAATTCAGACATATTATTCAATTTTTGTAAATCTTGCAGAGTGTGATTAAAATTCAATTTTTTTAGAATATGGATTTTCAAGAGTTATATTTCCCCAAAAGACTATTCTTTTTCCCTGAATGTCTTTGTATATTTGCTGGAAAATATTTGGCCATAAATGTGTGGGACTAGATTTGGACCCTCCATACGTTACTTGTATCCGTTTGTCTCTTTTGATGACAATATTGTAGTTTCCTACTTAAACTTTAAAATAACTTCTGAAGTTAGGTAGTATAAATCTTTTATCTTTTTTTCTTCCATGTCAAATTTATTTTGTCTTTTCCAGACCCTTTACATTTCTTGTGTATTTTAGAGTTAGCCTTCCAATATTTTATAGAATTTCGATTGAGGTAGAATAAATCAATTAGACAAAAGTGATATTTTAAAATCACTGAGTTCTTCAGAAAAGGAGTGATTGTCTGCCCTCACTTCCAGGTGTGTCTCACTTAGTTTTTCTCAATGATTTTTTCCCCTGGGTTTCATGTGCAGGTCTTGCTTATATTTTGCGGGACTTCCAGCACTTCTCCAATAATAATGATAATGGTCAAGAAATTATAACTTCAAATTCCACCATTATTTCACACAGCAAATTTGCCCAGAATGGAATGTGTAAATTTATTGATAGTAGCCCAGGTGACATCTTATGAATGCACAGCTTATTTTGTGCTAGAATTGTCTCCTATTTTTTTTTTTTAAGAGAAGCTCTACTGTTATCTATTGGTACACATTTGCACTATGTGCAATTTAAAGTCACAGTGTAGAGTTGGTGTATGTACACAACACAGCCGGTTTCTTCTTTTTAATCTCCTTCCTGCCCCTCTCTCTCCTTCCTTCTTTAACTCTCCTTTCTCATTTTTCGTTCTTGTTGATATTATTAATCTTAGTTCATGTTTATGGCATTTAATATCCACATTCACTTGAGCCTATTAGGAGCCTGTACATGACATATTTTAATGCTTTCTCTTTTCATTCCTGCTTTTTTTTTTAGAGCCAGGCTGCCGGGTGTGGTGGTGCACGCCTGTAATCCCAGCACTCGGGAGGCTGAGGCAAGAGGATCTTTGTGAATTTGAGACCAGCCTAGGCCAACCTGAACTGCATAGCAAGACCCTGTCTCAAAAAAAAAAAAAAAAAAGACAAAACCAAAAAAATAACCACCAAAACCAAATAGAGCCAGGCTGTAGCATGCCATAAATCTTCAAAGTGAAAGTATTGATGTGGATGTTTATTTTGCACTTTATTCTAAATTAGATTTCAGGTTTCATTGGAGGGAGAGCATTTGAGGAAATGGGATACATTAAAGAAAAGCTTATTTTACATGTGAATTATCTGCATTTTAAATGTCACAATTATGAAGGATGTTGTGAGCAGTGAAACAGGATAAACTGTGTTGATAAGTGGTCCTGAAATCAGGGAAGAGGCACAAGAACACAGAAATAGAGAATAATGCTAAAGAACTAACACTGATTCCTTGATTAGGGAATGTACTGATTAAAGTGGTCAGAGAGGCTGGGGGTATAGCTCAGTGGCACAGTGCCTGCCTGGCAAGCATGAGGTCATGAGTTCGATGCTTGGTACCAAAAGATAAAATATAATATAATATAAATTAAAATAAAGTGATCAGAATAGCCAATAATTGAGCCAGGCATTGTGGGGCACACCTGTAATCCCAGTACTCAGATGGCAGCTTCGCTGTAAGTTCTAGACCGGGCTGGGCTACATAGTGAGTTCAAGTCCAGCCTGAACTTCATATCAAGAGTCTGTCTTAAGAAACAAACAGAAATGAACAAGAATGAATTAAATAAAACAAACAAACAAATAAGTGAATAAAATTTCACTGTGTGAAACAATTTTGTTTGAACTTTGGAAAATGTTCTCATTAGCGAGAGTTTTAACTTATATTTGGGAGATTTGTGTTGATGAACAAATAAAGCAACTTTTTATCACAAAAGAAACAAAAGCCCAAGCTGCAGAGAACTCCGGACCATGATTGACCAACACATAGTAAAAACTTGGAAAGTCTTGTTCTGAAAAAATAAGTGTATGCGGCTTATTCATTTGACTATTCTTTAGAGAATACAATGGACTGAAAAGTTTTGTTGGCTATTTGGGCAATTATAATCATGATCACACCTTTCTTTGTCACTAGGAACAGGATTCATCCATTAAGATCAAAGTGCGCACCAGAATTCACATATTTGCATATAAATCAAGCCTTCAAGGAAAGACTCAAGCGTAGTAATTGTATGGGAGATTTTCTTTAAAATGTTCTGAGAAACATTTCTATTTGTTTGACTTTATTATGAATGATATTTTAAAGCAGGTTTTACTTCTCATATCTGCCTTTTTAGTATTATGCTCAAGAGAGGTGTGCAGAGGCTAAGAATTACTCTATTGTTTACAACATTTGGGTGCCTATCTCCAAATGAACTTTGTGGGGCTGAAGCTATACATAATAAAACTGCCAAGTCAGTCTTAGATTATTAAAAACTGTGGAGAGAGAGAGATGAAAATGTGCTAAAACTTGAGCAGTCATTGCAGATCAAATACGTTGCCAGTATCTTGGAAGTCTCAAGGAAAATCTGTCCAGCTCAGAGTCAGTTCCTCCAAAATTAAAATATCAAGACGTTTAAAACAATCAGATGCTTAGCCTTCAGACTTGGTTTATGTCACCCTATGAAAACGAGTGTAAGCATTTTCTGCAAAAATCCCTGTTGTAAAGGCAGAGAAGCTATTATTGTTGACACTAATCTGCACTGATTACATGCGCTGATTGACTTCAGGAGATAATGACCCTTCTCTGTTCCCAGGGTTGAAAGAGCCTGACTTTCTCTACAGCTCCTGCTAAGCCTTCCTGGGGAGATTGCTTACTCTGCAGCCTCCTGCCCCTGAAGGGAGAGGGTGACAAGGCTCACTATAAAATAGAAGGAGGAGAAGGAGAACTCCCCAAATTCTATATGGAAAATTCAATCAAAATTCAACTTGACAAGGTTCTTGGAAAGAATACCCTGCTAATGCTGGAAAGACAGA